ACACAGGACGGTCACAGGGGCCAGTTTGGGACAGGCCCAGGGGCGGGACAGGAGGAGGAAAAGATGGAAAACTGGGGGAAGGGAGAAGTGGAGAAAGGGAGGAAAGGAAGGAAAGTGGAGAGAAGGAGGAAAACTCTGGGGAAGGAGGAACAGCTGAGAAGGGGAGGAAAGGGGGAAAGGAAAGCTGGGGAGAGGGGGGAGAGGTGGAGGGAGGGGACTGGAGAAAAAGGAAAATGGGCAGAGGAGGAGAATGGGCAGAGGAGGAAACTGAGAAGGGAAAGGGAATGGCAAAGGAGGAAACTGAGAGTAAAGGAAAGGAATGGGCCAAGGAGGGTGTTGGGTGTTGCTCCCCTTCACTGTCACCCCCCAGTCCCAGCCTGCTGTCCCCTTGTCCCCCATCCCTGAGGGTCTCCCGTGTCCTCCACGTCCCCTCAGGTCTGACAGGCTGGAGATCAGCCCCAGGACACCCCTGAGTGTCCCCTGATTGTGCCCTGTGTCCCCAGCTTTGAGAAGCTGGACATCCTCCCTGTGTCTCCCCTGAGTGTCCCCATGTCCCTGCAGGTTCGAGAAGCTGGACATCACGCCCAAGTGTCCCCTAAGTGTCCCCCCTGTGTATCCCTTGAGTGTCCTCTATGTCCCCATGTCCCCAGATTCGAGAAGCTGGACATCCCCCCTGTGTCCCCCACTGAGTGTCCCCTGTGTCCCCTGTGTCCCCCCTGAGTGTCCCCTGTGTCCCCTGAGTGTCCCTCTGTGTCCACCCTGAGTGTCCCCATGTCCCCAGGTTCGATAAGCTGGACATACCCCTGTGTCCCCCCTGAGTGTCCCCATGTCCCTCCGTGTCCCAAGGTTCTAGAAGGTGGATAGCCCCCTGAGTGTCTCCTGACTGTCCCCTGTGTCCCCACGGGTTCGAGAAGCTGGACATCACACCCAAGTGTCCCCTGAGTGTCCCCATGTCCCCATGTCCCCGCAGGTTCAAGAAGCTAGATATCCCCCTGTGTCCCCTGTGTCCCCTGAGTGTCCCCATGTCCCCCATGTCCCTGCAGGTTTGAGAAGCTGGACATGCCCCTTGAGTGTCCCCTGAGTGTCCCCATGTTCCCCATGTCCCCGCAGGTTCGAGAAGCTGGACATCCCCCTGTGTCCCCCCTGAGTGTCCCCATGTCCCCGCAGGTTCGAGAAGCTGGACATCCCCCTGTGTCCCCCCTGAGTGTCCCCATGTCCCCGCAGGTTCGAGAAGCTGGACATCACGCCCAAGAGCGCGCAGAAGCTGAAGCCGGTGCTGGAGAAGTGGCTGCGGGAGGCGGAGCAGCGGCAGCGGGAGGGGCAGCAGCACCTGCTGGAGTTCGTGGGGGGCGAGCCGGGCAAGAAGCGCAAGCGGCGCACCTCGTTCACGCCGCAGGCGCTGGAGGCGCTCAACGCGCACTTCGAGCGCAACGCGCTGCCCACGGGCGCCGAGATCACGCGCATCGCGCAGGAGCTGCGCTACGAGCGCGAGGTGGTGCGGGTGTGGTTCTGCAACCGCCGCCAGACCCTCAAGAACACCAGCAAGCTGAACGTGTTCCACGTGCCCTGAGCAGCGCCCGGCCCGGCCCGCAGCCCGGCCCGCGGCCGCTGCGAGCTGGGAGCGCCCGGGCCCGGCCTCCTGCCGTCAGCACTTCGGGCACTGCCCCTGGCCCTGCGCCGCCGGCTGCACCGCCACACCCGGCCCTCTGCCGCCTGCGTCCGTCTCCACACCTGTACCTGTCCAGCACAGCTGTACTGTGTCCACCATGCCCATGCCTGTGTCCATCCTGTGTCCAGCACACCTGTACCCGTGTCCAGCACAGCTGTACTGTGTCCATCACACCTGTACCTGTGTCCATCACACCTGTGTCCATCACAGCTGTACCTGTGTCCATCACACCTGTACCTGTGTCCATCACAGCTGTACCTGTGTCCAGCACAGCTGTACCCGTGTCCAGCACACCTATCTGTGTCCATCACAGCTGTACCTGTGTCCACCATGCCCATACCTGTGTCCATCCTGTGTCCAGCACACCTGTACCCGTGTCCAGCACACCTGTGCCTGTGTCCATCACACCTGTACCTGTGTCCATCACACCTGTACCCATGTCCATCACACCTGTTCCTGTGTCCAGCACACCTGTACATGTGTCCAGCACACCTGTACATGTGTCCATCACAGCTGTACCTGTGTCCATCACACCTGTACCTGTGTCCATCACACCTGTACCTGTGTCCACCATGCCCAGACCTGTGTCCGGCACACTTTTACCTGTATCCAGGCCTTCACCTGCCCCTCAGCAACTCCCACATGCCCTAAACTGGGAGTGCCCTGGGGCCTCCGGCCTCCTGCCATCAGCACTTTGGGCACTGGCTCTGTCCCTCTGGTACCAGGTTCCATCTCCACACCTTTACCTGTATCCACCATGCCCAGGCCTGTGTCCAGCACACCTTTACCTGTGTCCACAACACCTGTGCCTGTGTCCACCATGCCCATATCCATGGCCACCACACCTGTGTCCAGGCCCTCACCTGTATCCCCCATGCCCATACCTGTGTCCACAACACCTGTTCCTGTGTCCAGCACACCTGTACCTGAGTCCACCATGCCCATGCCCGTGTCCAGCACACCTGTACCTGTGTCCAGCACACCTGTACATGTGTTCACCATGCCCATACCCATGTCCAGCACACCTGTACCTGTTTCTGTCCCTCTGCCACCTGGTTCCATCTCCACACCTTTACCTGTATCCACCATGCCCAGACCTGTGTCCAGCACACCTGTACCTGTGTTCACCATGCCCATACCCATGTCCAGCACACCTGTACCTGTGTCCACCATGCCCATACCCGTGTCCAGCACACCTGTACATGTGTCCAGCACACTTGTACCTGTGTCCAGCACACCTGTACATGTGTTCACCATGCCCATACCCGTGTCCAGCACACCTGTACCTGTGTCCAGCACACCTGTACATGTGTTCACCATGCCCATACCCGTGTCCAGCACACCTGTACCTGTGTCCAGCACACCTGTACATGTGTTCACCATGCCCATACCCGTGTCCAGCACACCTGTACCTGTGTCCAGCACACCTGTACCTGTATCCAGCACACCTGTACCCGTGTCCAGCTCACCTGTACCTGTGTCCAACACTCAACGTCTTCCACGTGTTCTGGACTGGGAGCACTGGGAACATCCCAGTTCCCGGTCACAGTCCCCCTGACCACCTGCCATCAGCACTTCAGCCAGTGATTTTGTCCCTTTGGCCACTGGTTTTGTCCCTTTGGCCACCCCTGTGTCCCTGCGGCCCTGTGCCCACCCCACTGTGCCCTCAGCGCACTGAACTGGGAGCACTGGGACCCCCCCGTGTGCCCCACCAGTCCCAGCCCCTTGACCTGCAGCCATCAGCACTTTGGCCACTGGGTTTGTCCCTTTGGCCACGGATTTTGTCCCTGTGCCCCCGTGCCTGTGCCCACCCGTGCCTGTGTGTGCCCCCGTTCCCCCCTCACACACGGCCCGAGCGTGTCGATGTCACACCTCCCTACCTGTGACACCCCTGGTGACAGACCCCCCCCGAGTGTCACACACCCACCCAAAATCAGCGATTTCCATTTTCCTGGGGTTTGCCCTTTTTTCCCGTGTTACTGAGGCGATGTTACGGCTCACCAGGGGTGACCCCGAATTTGTGTCCCCCCCACTTTGCGGGTTCCCCACCTCGTGAGGGGCTTCTGGGGGTGATCCCCCACCTTGGGGACGTCCCGTGGGTGGCTTTTGGGGACATCACCCCCGGGTTTGGGGGTCGTGAACCCCAAAGCAGAGGCAGCGCCCCTTCCCCAGCTCCCCCTGCCCTGAGCCCCCCGGGAGCGATGGGAGGGGAGCTTTGGGGGGGACACGGGGGCGCCCGCTGGGGCCGCGGCAGACTGATGCACTTGATGTAGTGGTGTGAAATAAACAGTATTTTTCTTTTTTCTTTTCCTTTGCCCTTTTTTTGAGGATTTGGGGGTGGGGTGTTCTTTCCTCCTCCCGGCCCCGTCTGCGGCCGGCGCAGAGCCAGCGGCGGGACTCGAACCCGCGGCCCCGCGGGAGGCGCCACACAGCCCAGCGCCGCAAGCCGCCTCGGCCACGCCCCCCCAGCCAATCCCCGAGCGGCCTGCCCGGCGCGCAGCTCTCTATTGGTTTCTGTGGCCGTCCGTTATGCGGCAAGGCCCGCTCTCATTGGCTGAGCGTGGCGGAGGGGCGGGACCGCCCGCCCAGCGGCGGGGGCGGGGCCGCCGCCTCCATCTTGGCGGAGCGGCGCGTTTGGGGGTCCCGGCCCGGAGCGGGGGGGCCGGACTGGGGGTCCCGGCCCGGATTGGGGGGTCCGGGCTCGGATCGGGGGGTCCCGGCCTGGATTGGGGCGTCCCAGCCCGGACTGGTGGGGGTCCGATCCCGGATTGGGGGGTCCCGGGGCGGACTGGGGATCCCGGCCTGGACTGGGGGGTCCTGGCCTGGATTTGGGGGTTCCCTTGGGTGCAGCCCTTAGAGGGGAGTGCAGGATTTTGGGGTCCCCTTGGGTACTGGCCTTAGAGGGGAGGTCAGGATTTTGGGGTCCCCTTGGGTGCAGCCCTTAGAGAGCAGTGCAGGATTTTGGGGTCCCCTTGGGTGCAGCCCTTAGAGGGCAGTGCAGGATTTTGGGGGGTCCCCTTGGGTGCAGCCCTTAGAGAGGAGTTCAGGATTTTCGGGGTCCCCCCGAGGTGTTCCCTTTGAGCAGGAGTGTTGCTGGGTTTTGGGGTTCATTCACCTGTGGTAGCGGGGTTTGGGGGGTCCCCAAATTAGTCACTGCAGGAGAGGGTCCTCAAGAGGTCTGGGGGGGCTTTGGGACCCCCAGAAATCAGGGGGAGGTGTTGGGGTGCCCCGAGGAGCCCCTGGCTTGGGGTGACACTGAACACCCTGTTTTGGGGTGACCCTGAGGCCCATCGGTTTGGGGGTGACCCCAAGTCCCCCTCGTGCTTCAGGTACCCCCAAAGCCCCCTGGTTTTGGGGGGAACCCCCACCAGCCCCTTTTTGGGGTGACCCCCAAGGACCTGCGTGCTTGGGGGTGCCCCAGACCCCACTTTTCCCTTGTCCCCAAGACACCCCCATTTTTGAGTACCCCTTGACCCCCCCCATTTTTGGGGTCTCCCAAAGACCCCCTGTTTTGAAGTGACCACAACAACCCCTTTCTTTTTGGGGGGTGACCCAGAGGACCCCTGCTTTTTGGAGTGACCACGACAACCCCGTTTCCTGGGGGGTGGCCCTGAGGACCCCCCGTTTTTGGGGGCGAGCCGGTGGCCGTTTTTGGGGTGCCCCGGGGCCATGGCGTGGGCGCTGAAGCTGCCGCTGGCGGACGAGGTGATCGAGTCGGGGCTGGTGCAGGATTTCGACGCCAGCCTCTCGGGCATCGGGCAGGAGCTCGGCGCCGGCGCCTACAGCATGAGGTACCGGGGACCCCAGAACCGACAGGGCACCCCACAACTGGCAGGGCACCCCGAAACGGGGCACCCCGAAACATCCCGGGGAAGGCAGGGGAGCGGGGAGCCCCAGAAGCAGCTGGAGGTTGAAGGTGTTGGGCAGCACCTCAGCGCCGCTGCCCGAAGCAGGAGGGGACCCCGGGATCTCCAGAGGCACCCCAAGATCTGCGTGGATCCCCAGAGTCCCCAAGGGAAATCCCAAAATATCCGAGGGAAGCCCCAGAATTCCCAAAGGAAAGCCCAAAAATCCCAAGGGAAAGCTCAAAATCTGCAAGGGAAGCCCCAGAATTCCCAAGGAAAAGCCCAAAATCTTCTTGGATCCTGCAAAATCCCCAAGGGAAACCTCAGAATCTCAGGGGGTCTCCAGAATCGCCAAGGGAAACCCCAAAATCTCCAGGGGATCCCCAGAATCTCAGGGGATCCCCAGAATCCCCAAGGGAAATCCCAAAATCTTAATGGATCCCCAAAATCCCCAAGGGAAATCCCAAAATCTTCATGGATCCCCAAATCCCCAAGGAAACCCCAAAATCTCTGGGGGTTCCCCAAAATCCCCAAGGGAAACCCCAGAATCTCTGGGCGTCCCCAGAATTGCCAAGGGAAACCCCAAAATCTCCAGGGGGGCTCAGAACCTCCAAGGGAAACCCTAAAATCTCGGAGGGTCCCCAAAATCCCCAAGGGAAACCCTAAAATCACTGGGGTTCCCCAGAATCCTGGGGGTGGTCCAGGGTCTCCATGAGAGATCTCAAAATTCCCAGCGGGAACTCCAAAATCTCTGGGGGTCCCCAGAATCTCAGGGGAATCCCAGTATCTCCAGGGTCCCCAGAACCTCTGGGGGGATCCCAAGATCTCTGGGGGTCCCCAGAACTGCCAGGGGGGATCCCAGAATCTCCGGGGTCCCCAGAATGGCCGGGGGTGCCGGGGGAGCCCTGAACTGGGCCAGAGTTGGGGCACCAAGGGGGAAATGGGGGCACTGGGGTGGGATTGGGGTGGGGCTGGGATGGAGCAGGGATGGAGTTGGGAAGGAGTAGGGGAGAGTTGGGAAGGAGTTGGGATGGAGTTGGGAAGGAGTAGGGGAGAGTTGTAATTGGAATTATGGCTGAAGTAGTGCACGGAGCTGTGGTTGGGGCTGGGAGGGATTCGGGATGCGTTAGGGATTGATTTAGGATGGATTTGGGGTGCCATTGGGATAGATTTGGGATGGTTTGGGATGGATTCGGGATGGATTTGGGACGCTGTTGGGATGGATTCGGGATGCCATTGGGATGGATTCAGGATGCAGTAGGGATGTATTTGGGATGGATTTTGGGATGCAGTAGGGATGGATTCGGGATGCAGTTGGGATGTATTCAGGATGGATTTGGGATGGATTCAGAATTCCCAGAATCTCCGGGGTCCCCAGAATGGCCGGGGGTGCCAGGGGCACGGGGAGCCCTGAACTGGGCCAGAGTTGGGGCACCAAGGGGGAAATGGGGGCACTGGGGTGGGATTGGGGTGGGGCTGGGATGGAGCAGGGATGGAGTTGGGAAGGAGTAGGGGAGAGTTGTAATTGGAATTATGGCTGAAGTAGTGCACGGAGCTGTGGTTGGGGCTGGGAGGGATTCGGGATGCGTTAGGGATTGATTTAGGATGGATTTGGGGTGCCATTGGGATAGATTTGGGATGGTTTGGGATGGATTCGGGATGGATTTGGGACGCTGTTGGGATGGATTCGGGATGCCATTGGGATGGATTCAGGATGCAGTAGGGATGGATTTGGGATGGATTTTGGGATGCAGTTGGGATGGATTCAGGATGCAGTTGGGATGAATTCGGGATGCAGTTGGGATGGATTCAGGATGGATTCAGGATGCAGTTGGGATGGATTCGGGATGCAGTTGGGATGGATTCGGGACGCTGTTGGGATGGATTCGGGATGCAGTTGGGATGGATTCGGGATGCAGTTGGGATGGATTCAGGATGGATTTGGGATGGATTCAGAATGGATTCAGGATGGATTTGGGATGCATTTGGGATGGATTCGGGCTGGATTCGGGATGGATTCGGGATGCAGTTGGGCTGGAGCTGCGGTTGGAGTAGGGAAGGAGCAGGGCTGGAGTTACAGCTGGAATTGTTGCAGTGGTGTGAGTCAGGATTAGGAGTGCTCACAGGTGTGCCCAGCTGCTGACAGGTGTGGCCTCAGGTGTGCCTCAGGTGAGCCCCTGAGGCCAGATGTTCAGGGCACACCTGGAGCCCTGCACTCAGGCAGGGCCCAGAGGCAGAGCCTGGCGGGGCTCCTCCTCCAGGTACCGAGGCCCAGGTGGGACGGAAGGAATCCCTGCCCCCCCAGCTCACCTGGCTCAGGTGACTCTCTCCTGTCTCCGCAGCGACGTGCTGGCTCTGCCCATCTTCAAGCAGGAGGAGTCCAGCCTGCCCCCCGAGAGCCAGGACAAGCTGCTGCCCTTCCAGTACGTGCTGTGCGCCGCCACCTCCCCCGCCGTCAAGCTGCACGACGAGACCCTCACCTACCTCAACCAAGGTGAGCACACCTGTGCTGCACAGGCGCCTCGGAGCCCCGCAGGAGGGTCCTGCCTGTGGAAGGTGTTGGGTTTTGGGGTGTTCCTGTTGGGAGGTGGGAGGTGGCACTGCCTGCACGTGGCTGTGTGATGTCCGGGTGGAGCAGGAGTCACCTGGGGGTCACCAGGTTAAAGGGGGGGACTGGAGGGTGGTGACAGGTGTGTGCAGAGGGTTACAGGTGTGTGTGAGGTGTGTCTGTACAGGTGTGTGTAAGGTGTGTCTGTACAGGTGTGTGCAGGGTGGTTACAGGTGTGTGTAAGGTGTGTCTGTACAGGTGTGTGCAGCCCTGGTGACAGACCCCCCCCGAGTGTCACACACCCACCCAAAATCAGCGATTTCCATTTTCCTGGGGTTTGCCCTTTTTTCCCGTGTTACTGAGGCGATGTTACGGCTCACCAGGGGTGACCCCGAATTTGTGTCCCCCCCACTTTGCGGGTTCCCCACCTCGTGAGGGGCTTCTGGGGGTGATCCCCCACCTTGGGGACGTCCCGTGGGTGGCTTTTGGGGACATCACCCCCGGGTTTGGGGGTCGTGAACCCCAAAGCAGAGGCAGCGCCCCTTCCCCAGCTCCCCCTGCCCTGAGCCCCCCGGGAGCGATGGGAGGGGAGCTTTGGGGGGGGACACGGGGGCGCCCGCTGGGGCCGCGGCAGACTGATGCACTTGATGTAGTGGTGTGAAATAAACAGTATTTTTCTTTTTTCTTTTCCTTTGCCCTTTTTTTGAGGATTTGGGGGTGGGGTGTTCTTTCCTCCTCCCGGCCCCGTCTGCGGCCGGCGCAGAGCCAGCGGCGGGACTCGAACCCGCGGCCCCGCGGGAGGCGCCACACAGCCCAGCGCCGCAAGCCGCCTCGGCCACGCCCCCCCAGCCAATCCCCGAGCGGCCTGCCCGGCGCGCAGCTCTCTATTGGTTTCTGTGGCCGTCCGTTATGCGGCAAGGCCCGCTCTCATTGGCTGAGCGTGGCGGAGGGGCGGGACCGCCCGCCCAGCGGCGGGGGCGGGGCCGCCGCCTCCATCTTGGCGGAGCGGCGCGTTTGGGGGTCCCGGCCCGGAGCGGGGGGGCCGGACTGGGGGTCCCGGCCCGGATTGGGGGGTCCGGGCTCGGATCGGGGGGTCCCGGCCTGGATTGGGGCGTCCCAGCCCGGACTGGTGGGGGTCCGATCCCGGATTGGGGGGTCCCGGGGCGGACTGGGGATCCCGGCCTGGACTGGGGGGTCCTGGCCTGGATTTGGGGGTTCCCTTGGGTGCAGCCCTTAGAGGGGAGTGCAGGATTTTGGGGTCCCCTTGGGTGCAGGCCTTAGAGAGCAGTGCAGGATTTTGGGGTCCCCTTGGGTGCAGCCCTTAGAGGGGAGTGCAGGATTTTGGGGTCCCCTTGGGTGCAGGCCTTAGAGAGCAGTGCAGGATTTTGGGGTCCCCTTGGGTGCAGCCCTTAGAGGGGAGTGCAGGATTTTGGGGTCCCCTTGGGTGCAGGCCTTAGAGAGCAGTGCAGGATTTTGGGGTCCCCTTGGGTGCAGCCCTTAGAGGGGAGTGCAGGATTTTGGGGTCCCCTTGGGTACTGGCCTTAGAGGGGAGGTCAGGATTTTGGGGTCCCCTTGGGTGCAGCCCTTAGAGAGCAGTGCAGGATTTTGGGGTTCCCTTGGGTGCAGCCCTTAGAGGGCAGTGCAGGATTTTGGGGGGTCCCCTTGGGTGCAGCCCTTAGAGGGGAGTTCAGGATTTTCGGGGTCCCCCCGAGGTGTTCCCTTTGGGCAGGGGTGTTGCTGGGTTTTGGGGTTCATTCACCTGTGGTAGCGGGGTTTGGGGGGTCCCCAAATTAGTCACTGCAGGAGAGGGTCCTCACGAGGTTTGGGGGGGCTTTGGGACCCCCAGAAATCAGGGGGAGGTGTTGGGGTGCCCCGAGGAGCCCCTGGCTTGGGGTGACACTGAACACCCTGTTTTGGGGTGACCCCGAGGCCCATCGGTTTGGGGGTGACCCCAAGTCCCCCTCGTGCTTCAGGTACCCCCAAAGCCCCCTGGTTTTGGGGGGAACCCCCACCAGCCCCTTTTTGGGGTGACCCCCAAGGACCTGCGTGCTTGGGGGTGCCCCAGACCCCACTTTTCCCTTGTCCCCAAGACACCCCCATTTTTGAGTACCCCTTGACCCCCCCCATTTTTGGGGTCTCCCAAAGACCCCCTGTTTTGAAGTGACCACAACAACCCCTTTCTTTTTGGGGGGTGACCCAGAGGACCCCTGCTTTTTGGAGTGCCCACGACAACCCCGTTTCCTGGGGGGTGGCCCTGAGGACCCCCCGTTTTTGGGGGCGAGCCGGTGGCCGTTTTTGGGGTGCCCCGGGGCCATGGCGTGGGCGCTGAAGCTGCCGCTGGCGGACGAGGTGATCGAGTCGGGGCTGGTGCAGGATTTCGACGCCAGCCTCTCGGGCATCGGGCAGGAGCTCGGCGCCGGCGCCTACAGCATGAGGTACCGGGGACCCCAGAACCGACAGGGCACCCCACAACTGGCAGGGCACCCCGAAACGGGGCACCCCGAAACATCCCGGGGAAGGCAGGGGAGCGGGGAGCCCCAGAACCAGCTGGAGGTTGAAGGTGTCGGGCAGCACCTGAGCGCCGCTGCCCGAAGCAGGAGGGGACCCCGGGATCTCCAGAGGCACCCCAAGATCTGCGTGGATCCCCAGAGTCCCCAAGGGAAATCCCAAAATATCCGAGGGAAGCCCCAGAATTCCCAAAGGAAAGCCCAAAAATCCCAAGGGAAAGCTCAAAATCTGCAAGGGAAACCCCAGAATTCCCAAGGGAAAGCCCAAAATCTTCATGGATCCCCCAAAATCCCCAAGGGAAACCTCAGAATCTCAGGGGGTCTCCAGAATCGCCAAGGGAAACCCCAAAATCTCCAGGGGATCCCCAGAATCTCAGGGGATCCCCAGAATCCCCAAGGGAAATCCCAAAATCTTACAAAATCCCCAAGGGAAACCTCAGAATCTCAGGGGGTCTCCAGAATCGCCAAGGGAAACCCCAAAATCTCCAGGGGATCCCCAGAATCTCAGGGGATCCCCAGAATCCCCAAGGGAAATCCCAAAATCTTAATGGATCCCCAAAATCCCCAAGGGAAACCCCAGAATCTCTGGGCGTCCCCAGAATTGCCAAGGGAAACCCCAAAATCTCCAGGGGGGCTCAGAACCTCCAAGGGAAACCCTAAAATCTCGGAGGGTCCCCAAAATCCCCAAGGGAAACCCTAAAATCACTGGGGTTCCCCAGAATCCTGGGGGTGGTCCAGGGTCTCCATGAGAGATCTCAAAATTCCCAGCGGGAACTCCAAAATCTCTGGGGGTCCCCAGAATCTCAGGGGAATCCCAGTATCTCCAGGGTCCCCAGAACCTCTGGGGGGATCCCAAGATCTCTGGGGGTCCCCAGAACTGCCAGGGGGGATCCCAGAATCTCCGGGGTCCCCAGAATGGCCGGGGGTGCCGGGGGAGCCCTGAACTGGGCCAGAGTTGGGGCACCAAGGGGGAAATGGGGGCACTGGGGTGGGATTGGGGTGGGGCTGGGATGGAGCAGGGATGGAGTTGGGAAGGAGTAGGGGAGAGTTGGGAAGGAGTTGGGATGGAGTTGGGAAGGAGTAGGGGAGAGTTGTAATTGGAATTATGGCTGAAGTAGTGCACGGAGCTGTGGTTGGGGCTGGGAGGGATTCGGGATGCGTTAGGGATTGATTTAGGATGGATTTGGGGTGCCATTGGGATAGATTTGGGATGGTTTGGGATGGATTCGGGATGGATTTGGGACGCTGTTGGGATGGATTCGGGATGCAGTTGGGATGGATTCAGGATGGATTTGGGATGGATTCAGAATGGATTCAGGATGGATTCAGGATGCAGTTGGGATGGATTCAGGATGCAGTTGGGATGGATTCGGGATGCAGTTGGGATGGATTCGGGATGGATTCAGGATGCAGTTGGGATGGATTCGGGATGGATTCAGGATGCAGTCGGGATGGATTCAGGATGCAGTTGGGATGGATTCGGGATGCAGTAGGGATGGATTCAGGCTGGATTCGGGATGCCATTGGGATGGATTCAGGATGCAGTAGGGATGTATTTGGGATGGATTTTGGGATGCAGTAGGGATGGATTCGGGATGCAGTTGGGATGAATTCGGGATGCAGTTGGGATGGATTCAGGATGGATTCAGGATGCAGTTGGGATGGATTCGGGATGGATTTGGGATGGATTCAGGATGGATTCGGGATGCAGTTGGGATGGATTCAGGATGGATTTGGGATGGATTCAGAATGGATTCAGGATGGATTTGGGATGCATTTGGGATGGATTCGGGCTGGATTCGGGATGGATTCGGGATGCAGTTGGGCTGGAGCTGCGGTTGGAGTAGGGAAGGAGCAGGGCTGGAGTTACAGCTGGAATTGTTGCAGTGGTGTGAGTCAGGATTAGGAGTGCTCACAGGTGTGCCCAGCTGCTGACAGGTGTGGCCTCAGGTGAGCCCCTGAGGCCAGATGTTCAGGGCACACCTGGAGCCCTGCACTCAGGCAGGGCCCAGAGGCAGAGCCTGGCGGGGCTCCTCCTCCAGGTACCGAGGCCCAGGTGGGACGGAAGGAATCCCTGCCCCCCCAGCTCACCTGGCTCAGGTGACTCTCTCCTGTCTCCGCAGCGACGTGCTGGCTCTGCCCATCTTCAAGCAGGAGGAGTCCAGCCTGCCCCCCGAGAGCCAGGACAAGCTGCTGCCCTTCCAGTACGTGCTGTGCGCCGCCACCTCCCCCGCCGTCAAGCTGCACGACGAGACCCTCACCTACCTCAACCAAGGTGAGCACACCTGTGCTGCACAGGCGCCTCGGAGCCCCGCAGGAGGGTCCTGCCTGTGGAAGGTGTTGGGTTTTGGGGTGTTCCTGTTGGGAGGTGGGAGGTGGCAGTGCCTGCGAGCCTGGCGGGGCTCCTCCTCCAGGTACCGAGGCCCAGGTGGGACGGAAGGAATCCCTGCCCCCCCAGCTCACCTGGCTCAGGTGACTCTCCTGTCTCCGCAGCGACGTGCTGGCTCTGCCCATCTTCAAGCAGGAGGAGTCCAGCCTGCCCCCCGAGAGCCAGGACAAGCTGCTGCCCTTCCAGTACGTGCTGTGCGCCGCCACCTCCCCCGCCGTCAAGCTGCACGACGAGACCCTCACCTACCTCAACCAAGGTGAGCACACCTGTGCTGCACAGGCGCCTCGGAGCCCCGCAGGAGGGTCCTGCCTGTGGAAGGTGTTGGGTTTTGGGGTGTTCCTGTTGGGAGGTGGGAGGTGGCACTGCCTGCACGTGGCTGTGTGATGTCCGGGTGGAGCAGGAGTCACCTGGGGGTCACCAGGTTAAAGGGGGGGACTGGAGGGTGGTGACAGGTGTGTGCAGAGGAGGTGTAAGGTGTATCTGTGTGTAAGGTGTGTCTGTACAGGTGTGTGCAGAGGATTACAGGTGTGTGTAAGGTGTATCTGTGTGTAAGGTGTGTCTGTACAGGTGTGCCTAAGGTGTATCTGTACAGGAGTGTGCAGGGTGGTTACAGGTGTGTGTGAGGTGTATCTGTACAGGAGTGTACAGGGTGGTTACAGGTGTGTGTAAGGTGTATCCGTACAGGTGTGTGTAAGGTGTATCTGTGTGTGTAAGGTGTATCTGTACAGGTGTGTGTAAGGTGTATCTGTACAGGTGTGTGTAAGGTGTATCTGTGTGTAAGGTGTGTCTAAGGTGTATCTGTGTGTAAGGTGTATCTGTACAGGTGTGTGTAAGGTGTATCTGTGTGTGAGGTGTATCTGTGTGTAAGGTGTGTCTGTACAGGTGTGTAAGGTGTATCTGTGTGTAAGGTGTGTCTGTACAGGTGTGTGCTGGGCAGCTCTGCAGGGTGGCAGTTGCAGGTTTGGGCTGTACCTGCTGCTTTCAGGTACAGCTGGAAGGTCTGGGTTGGCGGGACCCCAAATGAACGAGGAGCTCAGGTGAC